ACAAATGGAAACTCATCCCATGCTCTTGGCTAGGAATAATTAATATAGTCAAAATGGCCATCCTGCCCAAAGCAATATACAGATTTGATGCAATCCCTATCAAATTACCAATAACATTCTTCAACAAACTGGAATAAATAGTTCAAAAATTCTTACGGAACCACCAGAGACCCTGAATAGCCAAAGCAATCCTGAGAAGGAAGAATAAAGTGGGTGGGGGGAATTTCACTCCCCAACTTCAAGCTCTACTACAAAGCCACAGTAATCAATACAATTTGGTACTGGCACAAGAACAGAGCCACAGACTAGTGGAACAGATTAGAGACTCCAGACATTAAGCCAAACATATATGGTCAATTAATACATGATAAAGGAGTCATGGACATACAATGGGGAAATGACAGTCTCTTCAACAGATGGTGCTGGCAAATCTGGACAGCTACATGTAAGAGAATGAATCTGGATCACTGTCTAACCCAATACACAAAAGTAAACTCCAAATGGATCAAAGACCTGAATGTAAGTCATGAAACCATAAAACTCTCAGAAAAAAACACAGGCAAAAATCTCTTGGACATAAACATTAGCAACTTCTTCATGAACGTATCTCCCCAGGCAAGGAAAACAAAAACAAAAATGAACAAGTGGGACTAAATCACGCTGAAAAGCTTCTGTACAGCAAAGGACACCATCAATAGAACAAAAAGGTACCCTACAGTATGGGAGAATATATTCATAAATGACAGATCCGATAAAGGCTTGACATCCAAAATATATAAAGAGCTCATGCACCTGAACAAAATAAAAGCAAATAATCCAATTAAAAAATGGGCAGAGGTGAACAGACAGTTCTCCAAAGAAGAAATTCAGATGGCCAACAGACACATGAAAAGATGCTCCACATCACTTGTCATCAGAGAAATGCAAATTAAAACTACAATGAGATATCACCTCACACTAGTAAGGATGGCTACCATCCAAAAGACAAACAACAAATGTTGGCAAGGTTGTGGAGAAAGGGGAACCCTCCTACACTGCTGGTGGGGATGTAAATTAGTTCAACCATTGTGGAAAGCAGTATGGAGGTTCCTCAAAATGCTCAAAATAGACATACCATTTGACCCAGGAATTCGACTTCTAGGAATTTACCCTAAGAATGCAGCAGCCCAGTTTGAAAAAGACAGATGCACCCCTATGTTTATCGCAGCACTATTTACAATAACCAAGAAATGGAAGCAACCTAGTGTCCATCAGTAGATGAATGGATTAAGATGTGGTACATATACACAATGGAATATTTTTCAGCCATAAGAAGGAAACAAATCCTACAATTTGCAACAACTTGGATGGAGCTAGAGGGTATTATGCTCAGTGAAATAAGCCAAGCGGAGAAAGACAAATACCAAATGATTTCACTCACATGTGGAGTATAAGAACAATGAAAAATTGAGGGAACAAAACAGCACCAGAATCACAGAACCCAAGAAGTGACTAACAGTTACCAAAGGGAAAGGGACTGGGGAGAATGGGAGGGTAGTGAGGGATAAGGGCGGGGATGAAAGGGGGTATTATGATTAGCATGTATAATGTGGGGGGTGGGGGAAAGGGGAGGGCTGTGCAGCACTGAGAAGACAAGTAGTGATTCTACAACATCTTACTACGCTGATGGACAGTGGCTGTAATGGGGTTTGTGGGAGGTCTTGGTGAAGGGGAGAGTCTAGTAAACATAATGTTCTTCATGTAATTGTTGGTTAATGATAACAAAATAAAAAAAAATTAAGGTTGGGAATAAAATCCTACTCCTATTACCACTTGTAATATTCTGTGCCCCCCACCACAGTACATTTCAGCCTTTACTTTAGGAATCTGACATACATGGCAGGCACTGAAGAAGCCCATCTTGGTCCACAAGATCAAGCTGCATGATAAGGATCACAGAGCGTGGCATTAGAAGGAGCTTGGGCCCCTGACAATTTTTTGTAGCAAAGCTACCTGATCAGTTAGTAATAGGAAAGAAATAAACTTTTAATTTTACTTAAAAAAATTTTTAGGCCACTCTTATTTTTCAGTTTCTTTTTCGCAGTAGCCAAACCCATAATTTAATGGATTCAAATTGCAAGTTGAGGGGTGCGGGCTTTGTCGTTAATATAATGGCATATAGTGTTGTTAGGAAACAGAAAAGGAGGACCTAAGTTATGGCAGTAGCAGCTGAAATAGAAAAATGAAGAAGAAAGCCAGTTTTGGAAGCTGAAGCTACAGATTATACAGTTGGGCAAAAGGGAGAGGTAATAATTTGAAGTTTTAAATCTGAGCCACTCAGAAGATACTTATATCATTAATCAACATAGGAAACGTAAGAGAAAGAACTGTATACAAAATTGAATAATTGGAACTTTACAAAAGGCTGTGAGAAATCTGTATTAAGTGCTCAAGACAGTAGAACTTGACAGAATTAGGGCTCATTTGCACAAAAATAAGCAGCAGGAACAAACAAGATTATAAAGGGAGGAGTTATAGTGAAGGCAGAATTGTAGTGTTTCAAGTCTCCATTTCTTTAAAAAAGTCAAAGGTATGACACTTTAAATGTTTTTTCTTTTAAATAATCTGAATGCCCCACATGCTTATCTCACAAGCATTTTCAGTAGTTAATGGACAGCCTCATGATTCAGGCATTCAATCAATTTCACTGATTATCTGAACACCACAAACTACAGCAGTCATTTTGATCTTCATAGAGTTTTAGATCATTTTTCTATCTTTAGTCACACTGTTTAATTTATCCCTTAATGGACAATATTGGTTAGAGTGGAAAAGTGATGGTGGAACACACTAAATTACTGAGGAAACTGAAATATTTCTGAAAATTAATTTCAAAATGTTTCCCCAAAGTGACATTTGTACGATAAAAATTTTTGCAAAGCACAGTGTGTACTTCAAAAATAATTTTAAAAGAGAAATAATTATTACATGCAATTTAGTTTTTCAGTGTACCAAAGGGGAAAAACACATTTTAACCATGTTTTTTATAGGAAGTACTTATTATCACTCTACAATCTTTACTCAAAAATCATTTATTTTTACAGTACCATATGCAAGAATTCTAAGCAGTTCTGAGAGCAGTTTCTATTGATTTTTTAATGCTCAAATTTTAATCTATATTCTGTCACAAAACCCACTTATTTAAAAGGTGTTATCAAATTTTTTTTCTAATTAGTGTCCATTACTTTCTAATGAGAAAAAAAATCTAAATTAGAGTATATTTTGAAATCAGAATGAAAAACAATCTGTAAACCAATAACCTACCAATCTAAGTTAAAATCATTTTTACTTACAAACACAACATAGTTTCTGCAAAAATGTAATTTAAAAATTCTTTAAGGATCTTCAGATTACATATTATGAACTTTAGAGAATTGTATTTCTCAAAGAAAAATCTGAAGACATCTATTTTATTATTTAAAAACTACTTATCCCTTTACAATTATAGAGCATATTCATGCAATAAAGTAATTAAAAGTTGCAGGATTTTTTACTTTGTGTTAAGGAGAAACCAGTAAAGCAATAAATTTCCTTTGACAGAAAAGATCAAAGGCACTGATAAATTTGGTATTCATTTACTGAGATTGTATGCTTTCAAGAAAAACTGGGAAATAGAACCATTCTAGTTTTCTCCATAGAGTAGATCTCATAAAAGACCACACAAAAGGATTATGAACCTACCCTTAAAATATTATTTGTATGTATAAATTGGAAGCAAACACATTTAGTTCAAACAAAATGTAAGTTTTCCAGGAAAGGTTATTTTTGTTAGGCTAAAAAAAAAAAGTGTATATCCACACTTCCCAATTACTCCATTATTTTGATTTATTCAACAACTATACTTTTGAATCTATGCCAGGCACTATCATATGAGCACGCTATAAAAAATTTAGCAAATATTTACTGAGTTAAGTATTACCTCTTTTTAGCGTTTCTTAGCCACCAATCTCTTTACCTTGGGATAGTCTGTACTAACATACACGTTAGCTATCAACTCAACCCTAAATTGTTGATATTTGAAATCTTCCAAGTTAGGTTTTGTAAGATTCATAGGTTAAAAAGCATAAGAAGAAAACTACAACATTTTAAATTATTCAATTATGTTACTGTTGTTTTCTTGGGCTTTTCCTGCCACAAAATAATGGTACTCTTGACTCCGTTGGGTCAACAGTTGGTCTTGAATAACTTAAAACTAAACTCAAGGCAATAAGATAAGTGAAAGGGTATCTCGCCACGACCCTCCTTACCCAGAACGACTCAGGAGACACGGGCCCACGCAAGAGATTTTATTATCTGAAGGAGAGAGTGGCTGCCCCAGAAGGGGGTTGGGAGGGGGGAGGAGAAAAGGAGGGGGAGAGGGAGAGGAAGAGGGAGGGAGAGGAAGACAGAAAGAGGGAGAGAGGGAGAGAGAGAGAGAGGGAGGGAGGGGAGAGGGAGAGAGCGGGAGAGAGTGGGAGGGAGGGAGAGGGAGCAGTGAGAGCAGGGAGACAGAGACAGAGACAGAGAGACAAAGCGGTGCCGCGCGCGTGGTGCCTTTTATTGTGGTGGATCCGCCCGGCCTGTGGCCCTGCGGGAGGGTCGGGATGTTTAGAGAGAAGGCGGGGGAAGCCCCGGCATGATTCTCACCGCCTTATGTGCTAGGGACCATGGGGCAAATGGAGGATATATTACTATTTTCTTATAAGTATCTTTGCTCTCTTCTCCTGAATGTCAAAACTGCTAAAATTAACTACAAAAGATTGTAATTTTTATCCGGTAGGTTTTCGGATCGGATAAATTACACCCCCCCCACCCCCCCGCCAAGTGAAAGATAACTGGTGCTTTCTACTTCCACTTTTACAAAACAATGAGCAAGAGGAAAAAGAGCTAAAATACACTTCTTCCCTCCCACCCCCAAAAGAGCTCAGAGGTTAAGACGCTTCCCATTACAAGCGCCTTCCACCGCCCCACAAGCAACAAACCGTGTAAGGCAGGCCCAAAGTCTCCTACGTTTTCGACGAATCTGGGTCGCAACGAGGGAAATCAAGATTTGACAAATTCTTCCTTCACTTCAACTGTTTCTGCAAACACCACGACTTTCCAGCTTTGAAAAACGACCATTGCAGGATTCTGGCTGCACACTAATAAATAAAACTACTACCGAAGAATGGCCTTGGTCAGAGGTTAATTACCGAGAAAAGTTAACTTTAGCATCCAGTTTCTCACAAAAGGTATAAAACGAAGACGTCTCCTTCGAACTTGAGAGTGGTGACTCCCTCTCCCTCCATTAATTCTCAGCCTTGTCAACTTCCCCAATGAGGCAGTTCACCAGCCAACTTCATCCGTAACAGAGGTTGACGGCATCTTTCCGTGACATCTGTTTTCGGAATAGCTCGCTGGAACCCAAGGCAGCAGGGTTCCCGCATCTGAGCCGCCGCCAAACCCAACCATGACGAACAAACCAAGCTTGGGAGCCCCTCCGCTACTTAGCCAGCGTGAGCCTCAGCCAGGAAAAACCCCTTTCCGGCAAGTGGGAAGGCGCCGGGTCTGTTCCTTCAGGGCCCACCTCTCCTCCACCGCTCCCTCAGGACCCCTCTACACCTGGGGCCGCTAAGTAAGCTTTCAGCAGCCGAGGTCCAGTCCCAGCCACACACAAGATGGCAGCCGAAGACCTACCGAAGGAAACGGTAGCGCCACCACTCTAGCGATGCCGGCCTCTGGTATCTCCATTGGCCCATCCAGAGAGCGTGAGACAACCCGAGAGCGCTGACAGCCAATCGGGGGACGGCGCGATCCGGCGCCGCGGTTCTGCCGGCGGTACGCGCGGAGCTTCTGAGGCGTGGGCCCAGTCAGGTGTGCAGCCAATGGCCTCCGTGCCAAGTGGTGGGAGCCGTAGGTGTCCGACTCCTTCCATTTAGGTTTAGCGTTGAGATAGGCCTAGTCGTTAATCAGTGGGCTGCACTCCCTTCCCGGCTGAAGTGAGGCTGGTTATTTGTTGTTCAGGTGAGGTCTAGTAAATGGTGGAGTACCTCCCGGCCGTGGGGTCTCTGTGGCTTGGAGTCGGAGAGGAACCCTATCCGCAAGGAAGCCCAGCCTCGTCAACGGGACAGGGTGGAGCGCAAGTCCTCAGGTCTGGCGGGCGGCGTGAAAAACGGCAGTGGAGCAAGTGTAGCCGAGGCACGGCCTTGTGTTGGCCCCACGACGGCTCCTCCCCACCCCGAACCTGGGGACGCTACGGAGCCCCTGGCTGCGTGGACACCAGCCCTAGCAACCTCTCCTCTTTTCACCGAAGTGCGGTCCCGGGCTGGTGAAGGGATAGCGGGCGCACTGAGTTCTCAGCCCCCGTTTCAGTTTCTGTCTCCCGGTGCATACCTTAAATGTAAGGTGATTCCTAAGCAGCTGGAAACCTGAGGTTGTAAAGGGGCTGCAGAAAATGGACTGCAGGGTAAAAAACAAGCAGAACTTGAAGGTTTAACCACTGACCCATTTCACAGGTAAGACTTACATAAGCCCTAAATAAGAAGAGTCATTTGTCCAAGATAACGGAGTTGGGGGGGGGGGGGTCAGATCCTAATGGCACTTGATTCTTATTAACCGCAACCCAATAAGTAATTACCCAAGAAGTAATTAAAATAAGGAACAGTTGTAGTTAACTGCTTTTCAGCATGTGGAAACCTGCAGTGAGTTCTATATGTATTAATGAACGAGGCCAAAAGGTAACTTGAAGGCTATAGAGTGGAATAATTTTAAAAAACATGGGCTCCGAAACCATCTGCTTCATTTTTTTGTCACTGCCACTTACAGTGTGACAACCTTAGCCTCCTCATTAGAAAAACAGGTTTGCTCATTTATCCCACATGATTGTTATGTAGATTAGTAAAATCAAGTTAAGTATTTAAAAATGTGCCTCACACATGGCTTATACTCAGTGTTCATTACTGTCATCGTAATTAAAGCATAAAGGAACAGTGGAAATGGTCACAGTTTCATAAGAGCCTATTTTTAAAAACGGAAAGGAACCACAAATTGAAACAGACTGACTGCTTTTCTACCAAAATGAAAAGGTGAGAGGGGGAAATATAGGAGCAAATTAAAAAATCCTTGCTACACTCCAACACTGCTTGTTTCTTATGCTGAGATTATGAGTGATTTAAATGTTGTTTTTTATGCCTTACTATATTTTGCAAATTTTTCTAGAGTAAGCATTTTCCTTTTGTAAGTTCAATTATTTTTAATTTTTACAAGGTATGAACAGCACTGGTGAACTTTCTTTAAAAAGAAGCTATTACTGAGTGCTTATTATATGCTGTAGATAGAAGTATGCATTGGTAGAACTTTCTGGAAAGCAGTTTGGCAATTGGTGCAGAAGGCTTTAAAATGGACAATCCCTTTTTGAAAATTATATACTTATTTTTTTAACTTGGTTTCAGTTGTGAACATTTTTAATTTTAAAAGATGTTGCCAAATTTGCCTCCAAAATACCTCTACTAACTTCCACATTCCAAAGGTAGTTTGAGTTCAATTTCTCTACAGTAGAGACCAACACGAGATACTACCTTATTTTTTGCCCATCTGATGGATGAAAATGATACTCATTTTTTAAAAATTTTTACTCTCTGATTACTAGTAAGGTTTCAGTATGTATTCATATGTTTATAAACCTAAAATTTATGTTTATAAATTTTCTTCTTCAAAATTATGAAGAGTGCAGTCCACAATCTTGAATCTTCCCTTTGTTCCCCTATTCTACACTAAGGACTTTGTTATATAGTCTTCAAGTCTTTTTTTATACTTATGTATTCTTTGTAGGTATGTATGGACATACACACACACACACATAATTTTAAAAACATTGTATCATACTATATAATTTTGTAATTTTATTCACTTGACAGTTTTTGCAGTGTATACATGTTATTTATAGTTCCTTATTTATGGCTTACTTTTTTTTTATTAAGGTATCGTTGATATACAATCTTATGAAGGTTTCACATGAGCAACACTGTGGTTACAACATTCATCCATATTATCAAGTTCCCCCACATTCCCCATTGCAGTCACTGTCCGTCGGTGTAGTGAGATGCTATAAGAGTCTCTACTTGTCTGTGCTCTAATGCCTTCCCCATGACTCCCCTACATTGTGTGATAATAATATATGGCTCATTTCTTTTACCTGCCTGATAGTGTTCCAATGTAAGACTGAATTGTTCTGTTAATGTAAACTATTTTTGTATCTATTGGTTTTCATATAAAGTTTTGTTTGCTATGTGCTTACTATACAGCACATTGTATTTACATAGCATGTTTGTATTTTCCTTTTCACGGTCATTGCTTGTTTCCAGTTTTTCAAACCTTGCAGACAATGCTGCACGGATATCCTTGTATTTTTCTTGTGGTGTTCCCAAAGGACATATACCTAAAAGTGGAATTGCTTGGTTTCAGTTGTGAGCATTTTTAATTTTAAAAGATGTCAAATTTGCCTCCAAAATACCTCTACTAATTTCCATGTCCCAAAGGTAGTTTGAGTTCAATTTCTCTACAGTAGAGACCAACACAAAATACTACCTTCTTATTTTTTGCTCATCTGGTGGATGAAAATGATACTCATTTTTTTAAAACTTTTATTCTCTGATTACTAGTAAGGTTTCAGTATGTATTCATATGTTTATTAACCTAAAATTTATGTCAATTTCTATAATTTAGAAAAATTACCCATTTTTCTATGGAGTCATCCTTTGATGATTTAAGGAGGGATACTGTATGTGTGTCTTGGATACTGTATGTTCTGTATAATTTTTTAAATGTCTTCAATATCTACAGCCATCTCCCTTTTTGTTAATATTAAAATATGTTACAAACATATTTGATCAGCTTTTAACTTTTGTTTTTATTCATCTTACAGATAGATTTTTCTCCTCTTTACAATCTTCAGGTCTATTTTACTGCATTTCTCTAAGACTTCCATACAATTTTTAATAAAAGCAATGGTGGCAAATGTTCTCATCCAGTGCCTAACTTTGATGAAAATGTTCCAGTGTTTCATCAGTTAGTAAGATGTTTGCTGCTAGGTTTTAGTAGATAGTCTTGAATAGGTAAAAGAAATTCTCTTTTATTACAAGTTTGCTAAGGGTCCCCTCTCTACCCAACCCTAGAGAAATGGTTGATTTTAATTGAAATTTTTTGGTTTGTTTTCTACATCTGATATGATAGTTTCCTCCATGTATTTCCTAATACAGGAATCTAATACACTTATAAACTTTCCAATATTAAATGTTTTGGGTATTCCTGGGATAAAGCCTACTTTGAAAATACTTTTACTCCACTGCTGCATAGTTTTAATTTTTGTTTCCATACCCAAAAATGCTTTTGGCCTTGAGTTTCTTTTCTTGTCAAGGTTATACTAACTCAGAAAAAGAGTTGAATTAGCTTCTCATGTATTTCCTTCTCTGGAATAGTTTATATGCTATAGAAAATATCTGTTCCTTGAGAGTGTTGTGGAACTCATCTGTAAAACTTTAAGGAACTGTTTTGTTTTGTTTTTTAACTTATCCCTCTAATTGTGATTTTCACTTCTTAAGCCTGTTTGGTATTGTTAATAATTTCAATCAGATATTCATGTGTAAAATGTCAGTGTAAAATATTTCTTTGTCTCATTGGTTTTCATATCAAATTGTATTTTGTTTGATGATTGTTGTATTTACTGGCATGCCTTTCTTCATCTCTTCATTTTAATGTTTCAGTGACATTTTGTGTGATTTAAGTGGGTTCTTATTTTAAAATATACCTAGGCTTAGCTTGCAATCCAGTCTGAGTCTCTCCTTTAAAAGTAAGTTTAACAAGTTCACCTGTATTGTGATTATTAATATATTTGACCTATTTCTTGTCATCTTATTGACCATACTTCCCTTTGTATCTTTTATAATCTTATTTTTCCATTTGTCCTTTTTGTTGAGGTTAGCCCCAAGTTTTATTTGTTCTACTTGTTTTCTTTAAATAGATTACCTTTACATTTTCTACAGTTCTTAAATCTATATTTTCTTAACAAAATCTAAGTATTGACATTCTCCCTACAAAGAACTTGATGTGCTTCCATGTTACTCTGTCTGATCTTGATCTTACAAAAAAGTCCCCTTCCACCTCCCCTCTAAAAAGAACATAACCTCTCTTGGCTGTATCTTCCAGCATTTTTGTTTCACTTGTTTTGTTTTGTTTTCTTTTTTATTAAGGTATCATTGATATATTATGAAGGTTTCACATGAGAAACTTTGTGGTTACTACATTCCCTCCTATTATCAAGTCCCCACCACATACCCCATTACAGTCACTGTCCATCAGCATAGTAAGATGCTGTAGAGTCACTATTTGTGTTCTCAGTGCTATACTGCCTTCCCTGTGCACCCCCTATATTATGGGTGCTAATTATAATACCCCTTATTCCCCTTCTCCCTCATCCTCTGTAACCCCTTTCCCTTTGGTGACCCCTAGTTCATTCTCGGGTTCTGTGAGTCTGCTGTTGTTTTGTTCCTTCATTATTGCTTTGTTGTTATACTCCACAGATTTGTGAAATCATTTGGTACTTGTCTTGCTCTTCCTGGCTTATTCACTGAGCTCCATCCATGTTGTTACAATGGTAGGATTTGTTTTCTTCATATGGCTGAATAATATTCCATTGTGTGTATGTGCCACATCTTCTTTATCTATTCATCTACTGATGAACACTTAGGTTGCTTCCATTTCTTTGCTATTGTAAATAGTGCTGCTATAAACATGGGGGTGCATATGTCTTTTTGAGACTGGGCTCCTGCATTCTTAGGGTAATTCCTAGGAGTGGAATTCCTGGGTCAAATGGTATTTCTACTTTGAGTTTTATGAGGAATGTCCATGCCGCTTTCCACATGGCTGAACTAATTTACATTCCCACCAGCAGTGTAGGAGAGTTCCCCTTTCTCCACATCCTTGCCAACATTTGTTGTTGTTTGTCTTTTGGATGTTGGCCATCCTAACTGGTGTAAGGTGATATCTCATTGTGGTTTTAATTTGCATTTCTCTGATGATTAGCCATGTGGAGCACCTTTTCATGTGCCTGTTTGTTGGCCATATGAATTTCTTCTTTGGAGAAGTGACTGTTCAGATCCTCTGCCCATTTTTTAATCAGATTATTTGCCTTTTGTTTCTTGAAGCACATGAGCTCTTTGTGTATTTTGGGTGTCAGCCCCCTATCGGATATGTCATTTATGAATATATTCTCCCATACTGTAGGATGCCTTTTCTACTGATGGTGTCCTTTGCTGTACAGAAGCTTTTTAGTTTGATATAGTCCCACTTGTTCATTTTTGCTTTTCTTTCCTTTGCCTGGGGATATATGTTCATGAATAAGTTGCTCATGTTTATCTCAAAGAGAGTTTTGCCTATGTTTTTTTCTAAGAGTTTTATGGTTTAATGACTTACATTCGGGTCTTTGATCCATTTCGAGTCTACTTTTGTGTATGGAGTA